TTAGAGGAGAGAAGGGCAGAGCACTAGACCTTGAAGAGAAATGATAGGTGACATGCTACCAGTAGCCCCTCTGTCTCCGTCTATCCCTACATATTAACTAATTCCATCTAGATTGTGCTGATTTGTTTCAATAGCAGAATACTTCCTTCCATGGAATGAAGATTCAGGGAACATCAGATACCAACAAAGAGCAAAGACTTAGACAGATTTTCTTCTCTCTCTTTTTGAAGACTCTCAAGCACAGCTACCCTTTCAGGAATTAATCTGTATGATGAAAAAGACAATAAGCTAATCTGATTGGACAAGCTTGAGCCAGATGTTAAAAGCAAGTTAATACCAGAATAATAATAACCAGAAGGCAGAAACTGTATAGAAATATGGTACCTCCTTTATAACTCATTCGGTCAGAGATGTAGTATTCCCTTTTGCCCAAAGAATTGCTGAGAAAATAGCTGTTCTTAAAAGATAAAAACATACTGAATATGGTCAAAAGAGATAGTGTAAATAATAATGTAAATATCCATCATTTGCACATAAGAAAAAGATTTGCTGAGTTTTCCCATATCATTTTCTTAGCCAAACTTTGTAAATATACTAGACATGACTCCAGTACCTTAGAAATGAGTATTACTGTGAGTGCTAGAAGGGTCTACTAAAATATGCAACACCTGCTATTACATAGACTAACCAACTAGAGCCACATCCCAAGCAAGTCACAAAAAAACTCGATCTGGTAGCAACACCTCTCTGGATAGCCCTAGTAAGAGGGTAAGTCACTGATATTTGTAGTACATGTGAACTCACACATGAATGTTAGTCTCTACACTCTGATCTCATGAATGTGCATCAAGGCACCCAAAGAAACCACTCAGAATGGAGTTCAGAGCACCTCCTAAGTTCTTTACTAGGCTTAGAATTGGACCCTCTATTCTAAAATTTTAGTAAGTTGTGCAGATTTTTCTGACAGCATCAGCTTTCTGTTTGGTAATATGCTCTGAATTGCAGTCAACTTAGGGAAATGTGCCCTGGCTCTCTATGAGCAATCACAATAAAGAAGGAAATCAACAACCATAAAGACTCTGAATGAGAGTAATGGTCTCTCAGCTGGAGGGCATCCATTTATTAGGAACTGGGGCAATTTGAAGTTGTCTTAATGGCATGTAATTCTAAAGTAGGGCTGTTGAGTAAGTCAAGAGAGACAGGTGTGGGAAAACACACACACACACACACACACACACACACACACACACACACACACACACACACACACACGGCATACAACAGGGGATCTTAGGCAATAGCCCAAACCAGGGTGATCAGAAAGCCACCTTGCTGAAGAAATCAGTCCAGACACTTCCATCTTCAACCTTGTATCTCTTAAGCCTATTCCTTGTTCCTTCCTGCATCAAATCATGTTCCACATAAGGATTTAGTATTTAAACTACACGTGAATTGAAACAATAAAACCATGACTTCACTTCACAGTGATGGCTATTTACCCCATGAAATGTAAACTAGAACTTAATTGCTAAATTTAATCAACTGTCAAAGAGTACAGCATAAATGAAGTGCTATCCTGCATACCCAGTATGATTGCTCTTGGAGTAAAGTTAGTAAGAACAGTCCTACTCCTTACAGTGCAGCTCAGCTCAGGTATTGTAATTTAAAACCTCTTATTCACACTTCTTCATTTTGTTTTAATATTTAGTTCTATTTTAGCTGTTTTAATAAAATGAGTATGCTGTGTTAATATAAAATTGTGTTCTAAAGGGAATATTCATTTAGGCTAGGAAAGAAAACCAAAATAAATTACTAGAGACCCAGATACCTTTCTTCTGAGGTTTCTTTGTAGAATCTTCTAGAAGTAACTACAAAGAACTACCTGATGAGTTGAGATTGACTTGTTCCACTTTTCTACAATATTCTATGACACTCTTAGAACTCACAGGGACTTTTAAAACTAAAGACTTTAGATTGAATTTGCATCATGATAAATGAGGTACAGACAAATAATCAAATCAATAGGAAGGAAAAGAAACCTGAAGAATCTGTTTTAAGAAACTAACTTTGAAGACAATGATGTCATTTGAGCAGAGGTAGAAGTGAGGATGTCTAGAAGTCCTGATAGGGCACTTACAAGCAGGGTTTTGAGGAGAAACATTACCACCCTGGGTATACTTGGCTGACTACACCAGATCCTGCTACTGAAATGCCTACAAGAAGCAGGGTAGAAAGGGAGAGTCTGGGGAGGACACAAAAGGAAGAAGATTTGGAAGTGGGGGGAGGAAAGATACTCAGAATAGCAGAATAAGAGAGCACTACTTGAGAGAGAGAGAGAGAGAGAGAGAGAGAGAGAGAGAGAGAGAGAGAGAGAGAGAGAGAGAGCGCTCAAACGTCTCTGTTGAGTGATACCATTGTGTGAGCCATTCCAATCACATGCTGTTCATCAGGCTCCTGCAGGCAGCACACATGAGAGCAGAAATCAGTTGCCAGAACGCACCTGTTGGAGTAGACATGGTGTTACTGGTAATTCCCTTCCATTTAAAGTTTAGAAAAATGTAAGGGAAGGTCACTAGGCTCTGGGAGGTAATGGACTGATTGTCAGTAGACTCTCTGTGATGAAAGGGTTGAGTAATTTCTCTGCGTTAACTCATTTGCAAACTAACAAAAAAGTACAATGATAATCTTAAAGTCTCTAATATTTCCTTGCTAAAATTAGACATATTTCCCCTTCAAGTTTTTTGTTAAATGCCTCATAACAAACACATAATAGATTTACCTTCCCTGGTGAATAACTCTCCCATGTGTCATATCTCCATTTCTTATGTCATTTTAAAACCATCCTGGTCTCTTCCTCTCTCTTCTCATTTACAAACATACACAAAAATTCATGCAAAGTCATACACACAAAAGCCTAAAAGCATACAGGTTCATCAGCACTAACACCTTCAAACACACACTGAGCTCCCTTGCAACAGAGCCTGCCTGATTCTGCGGGGTTCCTCTGGTGCTTTACACACAGCTCCTGAACATTATGTTCAAGAGGAAACTAGTCCCAAGGCTACCTGATGCCAACAGCCCAGAATCCTCCAGTCCATAGTTAGTGCACTGATTTTTTATTGGCAAAAGTCATAACAATCTTATGGTGTCCACTGCCGCCTCTAAATGGTGATACTTAGTGCTTCTCAACTATGTAGGTCTATTCCTTCATTTCTATGTGGACTGTATAGTCTAAAACTTATTTCTGTGTGTTCTCTATTTCAAACTGAATACTTCCAAACTCATTTGTGTTCATGTGTGTGGCGTGGATGTTAATCCCAGGTCATTGTGGTTCCACAAATTCTACCAACGAGCTGTAAACTGATACCCGTCAATTTTTCTGCCTTCTTTTCTTTTCATCCACCCCAACCTGGAAACTTCAGTGTTGTTCCTGGCAGTCAGAGTTATTCCTTGTACTGCACTGTGTGTGAGTTTCACCAGTTTGTTTCTTTCTTAGTTTTGCACATTTACTGTGCCTCCTCTGCCTCCATTAATGTTGAAATTTGGCTCTTTGCTTCTAAGAATTTTGAGATCATGTGCTTGCCTGGACTGCCTCTGCTCAAACTCCAGTTTGTGTACACATCTCAGGGTCCATGTCATCTGGTCAGAACCTAGTGGATCCAGCTCAGTTACAGTATGTCGGGAAGATTTTCTCAGAGGACTAGCACCCTCTGTCCTTCAATTCTTGTTTGTATTTCCAGAATTGCCCATTACTTTCCTTCACAAACTGACACACCAGGAAAACGGGTCGCCCCATCCCTGGTGGTTCTTCTCTAGCTTGGTTCCTTTGAAGTGGTTTTAATTTATCTCCTCTTTTCCCACTTGCTCAAATACTTCAGTGCATATAATTCTTTGGATATACCTCATTCATGGAACTTGTCACTTCCTGTCACTTTGATGTATAGCCTTTCCCATTTACTTGATTTTACACCAGTGTCCTCTTCAAAGATATCTTTATTGAATGCTTGAGAGCAAAGTACATGACTAATTAGTCTTTATAACTTCCATAATTCTTAGCAAAATTATTTGCAAGTTATAGACCGTTAAAAATACAAGTTAATAGGGTAGGAGAAATGACTCAGTGTTTAACGATGCTGGCTGCTCTTTCAGAGGACCTGAGTTCAGTTTCCAGCACTCATGTTGAGCAGGTCATGACTTGCCTGGAAGTCCAGCTCTGGAGGACCCCAAACCCTCTTCTGGCCTCCATGAGCACCTGCATGCACATACACATACTTGCATACATGCACATAAATAAAAAATTAAATGAAAAATAAGAATATACATGGATTTTTAAATAAATATTAATTTACATGCCAAAAAATAAATTTCTAACATATTCTCAGTTAAAAAGTACAGTTTTTTACCATAAGAGATATTCATATCCATGCATTTTTTAAAAAAAGAAAACAGTACCTGGGGCTCAGTGGATAAGAGAGCTTGATGCTCTCAGGCAGAGGAGCCAAATCTCATTGTTGGCACCTATGTTGGGCACCTCACAGTACCTCAGAACTCCTACTTTAGGGAATCCAATTCCCTCTGCTGGTCCCCATGGGCACCCACACACATGCAACATATAGGCACACATACACATAAATTTTAAATAAACCATTAAAAAATAGTGTCTAAATTCTCCATGTTGATTAAAGCTTTTGATATTGTCTATGTAGAGAGCAGATAGTCCCATTCTTTTTTATTATTATTAAGGAATTTTTTATTCATTTTACATACCAATTACAGATTCCCCCTCTCCTCCCGGAGAACCCCATTCTTAAAGGAATATTAAGATCTCACCATAGTGACTAAGCATGCTTTTTATTTCGATATAACAAAAAATTTAGTAGTCATCCAACACAACACACATCAGCTACCAAACTATAGTGATTTTCTATGTAATATCTCCAAGACTGGAAAGAAAACTGTGACATTCATTTTACGCTTAAAGACTATTCTTTATTTCCCAGGTGTGATGGGAGAATATGAGCCGAAAATTGAGGTCCATTTTCCTTTCACGGTTACGGCTGCTAAGGGAACAACTGTTAAGATGGAATGCTTTGCGCTTGGCAAGTAAGTACATATTATTCTATAATTAGACACAATTGTTTATTAAAACATGACTCAGCTGTTCAGATCACTTATTGTGCTAGGTTTCACTTTGCCAGAAGCCGCATGATGACTATAGTGTTTTTAGAAGAACGGAGGTGGGAATTGACCAGTAGCCAGGTCCCTTGAGCTGCTAAGTCATCTCTATGCACAGCAATCCTTGGGGACCTGTTGGTTTAACATCAAGGAAGCGTGTCTAGATTGTAGGAGAGCTTTCCAATCCTCTGTCTACTAATCTGAAAATCTTAGCATTGTCCTTAGATTTCCTTTGGCAGGAGAGAGAAAGGACAAAGTACCATCTGCTATTCATGTGCAGGATTTGGATGTCCAGAGTGGGAAGACTATAAGGGATGCAGCTCAGTGGCAGAATGTTTGCCTAGTAGTACAGGACTTGAATGGAATCCCTAAAACCACAAAGGAAACAAGAGTTTAAGGGGGCTAAGGGGGACTCCTCTATGAAGTCCTTGCTGTGTAAGAGTAAGAAGCAGAATGTGGTCAACAAGAATGTACGCTCTTGCTAATGCAGCACCTGGGAGACAGACAGGTGGGTCCCATGGGGTGCTATAACCAGCCTCCCTGGACTACTTGACAAACTCCAGGACAGTGAGAGGCTGTCTCACTAAAAAGCAGATAGTGTTTGAGCAACCACCTGAGTTTGTCTTCTGACTATTACATGCACATGCATGGATATCTACACATATACAAACATACAGACATTTGCACACCTACTGGAGACATGCACTGTAAGAGATTTAAGTACAGGGATTGACCTCTTTCATTATCTTCTAAAATAGTAGCTGATAACAAAGTTGTTACTGTTAATGTGTACAATCCACAACATTCTCTAAATACACTATGACTGAGAACACATCCTGAGGCTGGCTAGGCTGAGTGACCCTGGTTCTGAAGTTTAAAGCCTGTGCTGTGTAGTTGCATGTCAATGATGTCTATAGTGTGGATACTAGCATGTGTAGCAGGAATGTAGTTCTGGTGATGTTTGATTATGGTATTCTGATTTGTTTCAAACACAGTGTTATTATTTTTAGAATGACAAAACCTCAGGGTCCCTTCAAGAGCTATAATTATAATTTATATAAATGCATCTCTTTCAGAGTTACTAATCATTTCACTCCAGTTGTGCTAAACTAACACCCACAGTATTACATAGATATAAAACATGCTTCATAAATGTGCAAACTTCTGAATAACAGTAGGATTAGCCCATGGAGGGGGAAAATAATAGTAAATAACAGAGATTCAGCTAGAGGTTTATGGAGAGATATTATCAGCAATATGTGTTGTACTTTCAAGAGAGATTGTGATAACATATCTATGCAGTTCCACTCACATCTAAGATCATGGTAGACAAAAAAAATTAAATGAAAGTCTATATAGCCCACTGTTAAAGCAAATAATTCCACAATGGAAATATAATTTAAGGAGGGAAATACATGTGACAGGTATGTGGTCATGTGATCGAATGCCCCAGGAAGTCTTCCAAAGCCAAAGGAATTAGTTAAGTGCATGAGACAGGATGATACCTTTAAACTCCAGTGTTGCTGCCATTTGCCTGGGAGCAGCCAAAGTCAAACTCCTAATCTTGACAAATGGAAAAATAATATATTCCAATGGGATTTCAAAGGCTTTAGTATATCCTGCAGTTAAATATTCTTAAATGCCAAAACTTGTACTAAAGCCAAAACAAAAAGGGGTCATATTGTAAAACAAATGAGAAAACTCAATTTATAGAGAAGAAACAACACAAAGCCTTTCCCCAGGCAGGTTATTTAATAAGTCAGATGTGCTTGTTTGGGGGAGGCTTGAAATATGCTTAAATTGATGCTTGCCCTCTCCCTCCCTTTAGGTGGGACCCAACAGTTCAAGTTATTCATATTGTCAAATCTTTATTTTCTCCAACTTTTTATGCTTTCCTTGTTTCCACTCACCAAAATAAATAACTTGAAAAGGAGAGGTGTTGTTGGTGTTGGTGTTGGTGTTGTTTTAAAGACATAATTCCTCCATGAAGGAGCGCTCTCTCTCTCTCTCTCTCTCTCTCTCTCTCTCTCTCTCTCTCTCTCTCTCTCTCTCTCTCTCTCTCTCTCCCTCCCTCCCTCCCTCCCTCCCTCCCTCTCTCTCTTTCTCTCTCTCTCTCTCTCTCTCTCTCTCTCTCTCTCTCTCTCTCTCTCTCTCTCTCTCTCTGATGTGTGCTTGATACTCTTTCTATGAATTGTGGTGATTGGAGGGGAAATCATTATGAGGAAATATACCAGTACTTAAAACTCACCTGCCACCACATAAAAATAAAATGATTTAAAGGGATATCTTGACTTGTTTGAATTCCTCCCTAGCATTGCAAGAAGCAGGATGTCACTCCCAGCATGAATACTACAGTTTTAAATGACTGTCAGAGTCGTTGTTGGTACTTACTCACAGCTCATATGACCTGCTGACTGCTTTCCTGATGCAGGAGGCCCTGCTGGACATTTCTCTAGAACTGTAGTGTCTGTCACTTGGTGTCAGTCAGGATCTAACCACATAGGCAGATTCTGCCTCTCACTGTGTGTGCATATTGTGCTTTATCCAGGTGTCCCTCATAAATGGTTCTTGATTGGATTCTGGACTGACAATCTCGGAACTCCATGCTGTCTCATGGTCTCATAGGCCTTGCATTTATTCTTCCCTGGGCTGGGAACACTCCCCATTGCTTCCATCACAGCTGCCATTCATTGCTCCCTTAAAGAGATTCTTTATATTGGATTATTATATATATGGTTCATATATACATATATGTAAATTGTATATATGGTTCATATATATGTGTGTGTGTAAATATATATATATGGACTATTGTATATGACTCATACTTACTACTCTGTATCCAAAAACTTTTATGAGTTTTCCCCTACAGCATCCTTAATGGAATTTTGAATTACTTATACTTATACTTGTGTTTTGGTACTTATAAATGAGTCTTCATCAGTCAGGAACCCAGAGGAAAACAGATTACAACTCAGTTTAAAAAAACTCAGGAGTGGGTCAAGTTAGAGATATGTAAATACGGTAAGGCCATAAAGGAAAAGCAAAGTGGGGCATCTGGAGACTTGGTGCCTGTAAGAGAGTAGAAAGCTCATGACAGCAGAACATGGAAGAGCGGGAGATGAGAGCATATCAGAGGATATGCTTGGCAGAGGAGAGAGAGTCGTCTGGCTGGGATGAAAGCATGCATGAAGGAAACCTCAGGAATTTACATACTGATTTCTATCACTTCTGGTCTTCTCAGGTGGCTCCCATGAAGCCAAGTAGAAATTCCCCACTAAGGTAGCTTGCAAGGGAGAGGATGTAGTCATCAGAGAAAGTTTAGGAGAAAAACAATGGCAGGCAGGGAAAACAGAGACTAGCTCAGTGTCCATGTTGAGGACATAAGCCTCATGAGAGCAGGGCTTGTAACTGGATTCCTCTTTTGCTCATCAGTGTTGCCTGTAGCTGAAAGTTTTCCAGTGCCTGCCCGGCTCCCATGGCCTCGTGGTCCTGCAGCTACTCAGACCCAAATGAACACATAGAGACTTATATTAATTATGGACTGTATGTCCAATTGGCTCAAGCTTCTCGTTAGCTAGATCTTACATCTTAAATTAACCAATTTCTATAAATCTATACTTTGACACATATCTTGTGGCTTACCAGTACTTTACATCTTGCTTCTCATGGTGGAGGCTGGCAGCATCTCTCTGCTCTGCCTTTCTCCTTTCTCCTCTCTAGTTAGAATGTCCCACCTAACCCTATTCCTGCCTCACCACTGGCCAAACAGCTTTATTTATCAACCAATCAGAGCAACATATTTTCACAGCATACAAAAAGACATTCCCCCATCAGTTGATTCCCCTAGTATCCACCAGGTGGACAGTACTCAGGAAATAACTGCTGATGGAATAAATTACCTTAGACATACTGAGTCCACTAAAGTCAACCATTTACTCATGAATAACTTCGTATTAATATGCTATACCCTAAAATGTACCTATGTTTGTGTATTCTCTACTTCCATCCATAGTTCTATGATCATCTATTTTTGTCCAAATGAAGAATCATTCTCCAAACTTTCCCTTTCCTCACCTATTCTTGCCTCCATTTGTTCATTTTCCCACTGTTTTAGTTCTACTGTTTCTCTATCTCATTTTGATTGTATAAGAATGTTTATCACGAGATCCAATCTGATAACCAAGCATCATGGTTGTGAAGTACAGGCTCAGTGCTACACAGCAGATCTTTATAATTATCTTGTACAATTAAACCTTTACTTTTCATCCCAAGGTGTATTTTGTTGATATTTATTCTATGTGAGACGATTGAATGTAACTAAGAGAAACATTTATGATATAAAAAGGCTCAAAGGAGGGTGTTGTGTGTGTGTGTGTGTGTGTGTGTGTGTGTGTGTGTGTGAGAGAGAGAGAGAGAGAGAGAGAGAGAGAGAGAGAGAGAGAGAGAGAGAGAGAGAGAGAGAGAAGAGAGAGAGAGAGAATAGATTTGATGTAGTGATGCATGGAGGGTTAAAGAATAGAAGAGTACAAATATTAACTACTGTTTTAAACCTTTCGAGGTGATATAGGGGCAGTCTAGGTTTTCTATCAGAAATCACCATTTTTATCCTACTACAAACTGAATCAAACACCTTCTAGATGTAGTTCCTGCCTCAAGGGAAATTGTTAACCCATTAATGACCAGGAGACAAAATCCAGGAGCTAGGATATGCATAATTCATTTTATACAGACAAGTAGGTTAAGTACCTTGAAAAAACTAAAGTACTAAATGCAGGTCTGAAGGCTTTCAGTGCCAACTGGAAGCACATGCTAGCCACTGCCCTTTTTTCCAATGTGCACCACCTTGTTTCCAGGGAAATGCCAACCTCTCTGCCTTTCTCTGTTCAGGTGACTCTGATATCATACCTTCTTGATTCCAGTATCAG